GTTGAAATTATGCATTCATAATGTATTCAAAGTATTTATATCAAGATAAAATAATTTATCATGCTTCTATCCAATAAAAATATTGTTTGCTTGGCTTAGCGCTTCAGAATTGTATAAAATTTTTCCTTTTTCCTGTAAAGATATCTTTTAAATTGATTCAAAATTTAGAGATGTGGTAGAAACATTTTTAAACTAAATTACATGGGGTTTTTTTTTTCCACTTAAAAAATTTGAAAATATGTTATCATTTAGATTGGTCAAAAACTGTTTATTATAAAATCTCTCATCCCAATATGTGAGCAATTTATTTCAGATTCTCTCCCAATTCCTGTTCATATGTAGAAATACTTTTACTCTAGTTACAATCATAACGTTTAATGTTGACTATTTTCATTTTTAAGAACACATAATCAAAGCATTGTTACTACAGTTTCCAATATGATCATTTATATTAACTGTATTGTATGCAAGAACATTTTAAAAATATGCCTCTTAGCAATTATTCATAAAAAAGACTGTGAAAACAATGAATGTTAAAGAAAGTCTAAATATTCACATAATAAAGAAATATGAGACTTAATAAATTAAGTTACAGAAAACACTAAGCTGGAACTAGGGAAATGCCTTTAGCTCTGGGTAGCGGTCAGTATTCCGTTGCCTGGATTGACATGGTTTTCATATCATTACTGGTAATATTTCCAGGATAAAAAAGCACACACACTCAATGACAGTGATAGTCTATATAACCATAAAATGTTATCTGACATTTGCACAGGAAGGATCATCAGGAAGACTCAATCACTATATCATGTTTGGTGATGCAGAAGGCCAACAGTGGTGAGGGACACCGTTGGTGAAATGGATGGCATAATAATGATAAGAATGCATTTGAACATATTGCTGATAATGAGGAAGACACAGGACTGGGTCACAGTTCTTTCTGTTGCACATAGAGCCACCCTTATTCGGAGCTGACTAGATGGCAACAATCTATCTCTATTACCTTCCTGAGTACAACACATAAGTGTCCCAAATGAGGAATTATCTCTCACCTATTTATAGCTTCTTCAGAGCAAATCTATTATTAGGCGTTTTTTTTTTTTTCAATGTTAAGCCTGCAATATGCAGATGATATCAACCTGCTTGCTCAACGTGAAAAGGGTTTGAAGCACTTACTGATAAAGAGCAATGGTTATAGCCTTAAGTATGGATTAAACCTCATCACTAAGAAAACAAAAATCTTAGCCCTCCCCCAAACAATATTCTGATAAATGAAAAAAAAAAAAAATTGAAATTTTCAAGGATTTCACTTTGCTTGAAACCACAACCAACACTCATGCAAGCAGCAACCAAGAAATCATATGACATTGCTTCCGACAAATCCAAAAGAACTATTGAAAGTGCTGAAAGCAAATACATCCACTTAGAGGACTAAGTTGAGCTTTACCCCAAACCATGATCATTTCAATTACGTCATGTGCATGTCTAGCCTGGACAATGAGTAAAGAATATCAAAGAATAATTGATGAATTTATACTGTGGTGTTAGTAAAGAATATTGAATATGGACTGCCAGAAGAATGAACAAATCTGTCTTGGGAAAAGTATATCCTTAATGTTCCATAGAAAGGAGGGTGACAAGACTTTATCTTATGTACTTTGGGCATTACCAGGAGGGACCAACCATTGTGAAAGTGGCACAGGACTGGACAGTGTTTCACTCTGTTTTATACTAAGTTGTTATGATTCAGAACCAACTTGAAGGCACCTAATCTATAATGAATAAAATATTTTAAACATGAAACACTTTAAACAGGAACACTGATTGCTAGATAACTATGGCATTTACAACTAAATATTGTCACATTTTAACTTATTGCTGGGGAAAAGAGTATGATATTTCCCCTTTTCCCCTTAAGATAGGAAATTTAAATAAACGGTAACTGTATTACCTGTTTCAGACATCCTTATTTCTTTTAAGGACTACCAATCACCTGGTAGCAAAATTCTCATAATTAGCCACTTTATACATTTAACCCAAAATTCATTTCTTCCATACAAATTACTGAAACACAGCTGAAGATTTTTTTCTGATAAGATATCAAATCTTTTCTCAGTATTTTCTAACACTCTCCTAAGTGCAAGCAAAGTAGCAAGACTTTTGGATCCCGTATGCAAGAAACCTTTGCTTACCTTGTTGATCTTAGGCCAATTACTAATAGCAACAGCAAAAAAAACTTAGCAATTTTGTAGGAGCAGTTCTGTCAGATATTGTTGGTCTGGCCTTGGTACACCTCACATACAGAAATAGATTTTCTGATCATTTTATTTTTCATGAATTGATAAATGTAAATTAATTTTCACACAGCTCAATGTGTGTTTTATAAAGTGACGAGAATATATTCATTGTGAACAAATATCCAGAGATGGCTTTAAAATTGTTTCACAAACTCAGAGTTTTGTATTTTCTCTTATTGAGAGGAGGCCTATTAAGGCAAGGCCTTGGAATGACTACTAGCTTACGATGTCTTTAAAAGGAGCACAGTTGCTGACTAAAAGTTAAATTATTAGACTGCAGTGGAGTCAGAGCAAACATTTAACACTGGAAAACTCACCCATTATCAACATTGTTAGCCATTATATACACCAAGCAACTGATTGAGTTCTCCATTTTTCAGCTGGCTAATCATTATGAATGTGGAATTTAATGTTAGGAAATGGACATGAATTGCTGTTTTTGTTAAGTTCCATTGAATTGATTCTGACTTACAGCAACCCTGCGTAGGGTTTCTGAGGAGTGACTGGTGAGCTTGAACCGCTAACCTTGTGGTTCAAGCCAGCCTTGCAGGTCATCACATTAACCCACAATGCCACACCAAAACGCCATGGACATGAATATCGGACTCAAATTTGATCAAAATCAGGTCATCATTAGGAATATATTAAAAATAAAATAGGGAAAACTTCGAATAACAGATTTCAGTATATTTTAATGAAATCCTTACTCCATGTGAATACAAGCAGTAACAGAAAGAAGCGACATTGGGAACAAACAGAAGATTTATTTAAAAAAAGAGAGAGCGAGAGAGAACTAAACTGTGTTACTAAATGGATGCTCAAATCCTTACAAACACTGTTTCAACAATTCAGGATTTAATTTAAACATTTTAAATTGCAACTGTTTGCTAGCTTCAGAATTTATACTTGATAAATTCAGACAAATCTGAATATAATAAAAAAGAACTAAGTTAATTGTAACATAACTAATATTAAATACATTGATGATATTGAAAAGCCTCATATTAACATATGCCATGAGAAACAAATGACAAAACTAACAGTTAGAATTATTATGAGTCTCTTTTTATACAACTTCTAACATACGGTCTTCATTGCAGGAAAGATAATCATCCCTGGCAGCCAAAACTGTAACATCTGAAGCAATATATGATGAGACACTGTGGCAGAACCTATGTGTTCTTATACAATGGGACAGAAATATTTTGTATTTATGTTATTTAAGATATGTATACTACCATCCACCATATACCAAAGCTAACTATAGCAAAAGATCAAGATAGAATTTTTTGTATTACTAAAAGATCTCCTTTTCTAAGACAGACAAACTTGACTAACTGAAATATTGTAATCTTTTAAAAATAAATTTGGGATTAGCATAAATGTAACATTTTGATTACAAAGGAGTCGATTTTCTTGTTAAGTATTGTCCACTTGGTTCTGATTCATAGCAACTATATATATAGGGTTTCTGAGGAGGGCTGGTGGGTTTAAACCACTGACCTTGCAGTTAGCAGTCCAGTGCCTATCCTACAGTACCACACCAGGACTCAAGAGAATAAGTAGAATAATAATAATTAATACTGAGGAGAAAGATATTCTTCTCAACATTGTGAAATAGATGATATTAACAATTACTTTTAAAATACTATAATTCCATTTTCTTTTTCTTAATACTTTGGAGAGTGAAGTGCTTCTTTGTCTCCAAATAACTTGATAAATTCTATCTAATTGAATCTATAGAATAAGACTCTGTGAAAGATTAAGATAGAAAAGCAAGATGTTTTCTGGATGGATAGTATACTTTTAGCAAATCCTGTTAACTAAAATACCACAGGTAAAGTTGTTTTTTTCAATGGTAGAGTAACTTTACTGTTTCAAATTGTGATCGTATAATAAAAAATTAGCCTACGCAATTTGAACAATAAATTAATTTTTACATTTTTTAACTCAATAACAACATGCCAGTCTCACTCAGTATAACTAAGTTATTTCATAAATAATATTTCTCTATGCTTTTCTTAAAAACTGTAGGATCTCCACTTTGATTTTGTTTTACATTTCTTTGATAAACAGAATGCATTATTGAATTGAACTCTTTCTCACTTTATTAAATCAATGAATGTTTTCTAATTAACTAATTAATTCAAAAGGCATTCAGATAAAATATTCCTAATCATTATTGGACCATATTTTAAAGCAAACCCCAAATCCCACAACTTATACCACAGCAAGCTATTCACCACCTGTACACACACATATTTTTGAAGAGAATATACACTTGGTTCCTAAGCCCATCAGAAACCTCAGACAATTTTAAAGCCTTGCAAAAAGAACAGTAGAGGGAGGAAAAATGTATTCAGCAACTAACTTGTATTTAGTAAGGCTCTCCACTGTTACCTAGAAGAACACTCCTCAACAATGTGAATATATATATATATATATATTTTTACCTTTTAGTTTCTAATCTTAAAATCAACTCTCAATATCCTTCAGCAAGTAGCTTGAAAATATTCATAGAACTACTTGAAAATATCACAAGATTTTAGTTCAACAACTGTAAAAAAATTGAAAAGCACTGAACAACAAAGTGAAGTAAAACAAAACAATTTAAAACAAATGATTTTATACTTTAGGGATTAAAGGTTTTTTTTGTTGTTGTTTTTTTGTTTTTTTTAAAAAAAAGAGAGAGAAACTGCTTACCAAGAACCCCCAGTCGATAGTTGACTGTGATGACGATCACATTGCCATAACTTGCCAAGACACTCCCATCATATAAATTTCCAGTACCTTCCATATATGAGCCACCATGGATATACACCATCACTGGCTTAGGACCCCCACTGTCCCGAATATCTGAAAAACAAATGTTTGGCAATTGTTCTTATCCTCAAAAAATACACATGAGGAAGTAGAAAATGCATTTTCTATTTTAGGGACAAGAGGGCATGATATCATTGTTTAAATTGCTGCTTTTGTTAAAGTGTTTCTCAAGCAATTATTAAGAGTTAATATGGAAGAGAGCAGTAGGCATCAATTGTTTAAAATTTGTCTAAAAATTATAAATTGAATTACCAATCTTGGATCATTGAAAAGAGATACAAATTTTATAGCTTCTTGGATGATTTCTGAAGTGACAGTAAAACCAAAAGCATAGAATGTTAATGATTCTTAGAATAACTTTTTAAAGCTGTTAATAGACACTTGATAAAATGTATGTACTATCAACTAAATACAATGGCATCACTGCAATAGTGAACAAAGCAAGTGTTTCTTTTCTATTTCTCATTTACTGTAAAAATTTGCATTGAATGCAACATGGGTATAATAAATCATTTATGCTGCAATTTCTGGACAAAACTGCAGTATTTTGTATATGTTGCAAGAAGTTTCATTTCACTACTTAAGTACTGCCAGATGAATGTTTAGGCAGAGAAGTCACATGCATCTCTGCTCCTGTTGTTGTATTTAGGGTACTGTCATTTAAATGATGTTGCTTGTCTTATACTTTAGGATTAGATAGTGGACTAAATTTAATTTTTTCACTTCTTGAATTTTTTTTAAGTACCATCTAGTCGTTTTAACTCATAGCGACCTGTATAGGATTTGGGAGATTTTCAAAACCTTTGCCAGAGCAGAAACCTAATCTTTCTCCTGAAGAACTGCCAGTGGGATAGAACCGAGAACCTTGTAGTTCGCAGTCTTGTGCTTAGTCTATGGAGCCTTCGCACTCCTCTCGTCTCCTGGTATGAATATTATACTATTCTTAGTCTTTATTTGGAGATATGCTTTTAAGTTGTAGACATAAGACAAGATAGGTAAATTCAAGTGTAAAGTGCTGGAATTTAGAGTGCTGTTAAAGTGATTTCTACAGTTCTAAATTGTTTATCAAGTGTATTTGTTTATTTTCCCCTTTTATTTTATAACAAGGATATAGAAAAACACTTAAGGACAACATATATAATTGTTGTCATTGTTAAGTACTGTCAAGTCATTTCGGACTCATAACGACCCTGTAGGGTTTCAGAGGCTTTAGATCGTTGCAGGAGCAGACAGCCTCATCTTTCTTCTGCAGAGTGGCTTGCACACTCAAACCACACAGTACAGTAATTATAGTATGGAGCCACCACGCTCTCTATAATAATTATGTTGCTAAATGCAATCAAGTAGGTTCAAACCCATAACGAACCTGTATAAGGTTTCAGAGGAACAGCTGGTGAGCTCAAACTACCAAGCTTGCAGTTCAAACCAATTTTGTAGTCGAGCACATTAACCCATGGCGCTATACCTGGTGTAGCACCATAGAACTGGTAACAGCAAGGTTGGCAGTTCAAACCCACCAACTGCTCTCGGAAAGGGTTGCTTTGACTTGGATCCAACTCAACCAACAAATAATAACAGCCAATATTGAAAAGTGTCATTGGGAAGTACCGTTTTGTTCTTTTGCTTTTGATATTTTTTTGTCAAACTTAACTTTCCGGTATCTGTATGATTGTAGTGTCAGCTTACAGAATGTACTAATATGATACAGACTCACTAGGGGAAAAAATGGTGATTATTTAGAAGATGTTTTATATTCTCTATACAAAGAATAACCAATAGAAATGCTCTGAGTTGTTTTACTTTAGTAATAAAGTGACTTATTAAAAGGAAAAATCATTTTAGGGTCAGGATTTACAGCTCAACTTGCTTGTCCAAAATCTCAAATTGAGAAAATTACTTATTGCAGAACTTGTTGTTGTTGGTGTTAAGTGCTGTTGAGTTGGTTCTGACTCATAAAAACCCTGCATAGGGTTTCTGAGGAGCAGCTGATGAGTTTGAACCACCGACCTTGCGGTTAGCAGTCCAATGTTTATCCTACAGTGCCACACATTAGAGACATGTAAAATATTATGTTAAGTTTGATTTATTATTAGTAATTGCACTTATACCCCTCACCTTCCAGAGTGTGTACTATACGAGAGCATCATGTTTTTAAGTGGTAAATGGGAAATATTTGACACAGAAACACTAACTACTCACAGTTGCATTTGGGAGGAAAATCTAAATTGATATTCTCTATGAAACTTGTGAGGGAACATTGTATTCACTCATTTCTAATGATTTGGGGACTTGTGGAGATGTTAGACTTACACGAGAAACAACTTTTGAAATTGTTAAACTGTGCACCTTAAATGCCTGTTTGGTGCATACAGTTTTAGCTTCTTATTTTTCGAGAATGGCTGGCACAGATGAAGCAATAATAAATTATTAAACTGAAATCATTAACTGACTGTTCACAGCAGACACTGTACTCTGCTAATTGTATGCTTGGAGGTAGCACAGAGGGAGGCTGTTTCAGAATTCTTCTTTAATTAAAATTACATAGAATTACAAAGCACCAACTGTGAACAGTAATGAAATCTTGGTAGAACCATTCTGTTCACCTGGAAAACAATACAGGCAAACATTGAGAAGAAATGCCACATTTTCTATTTAATAATAAAATGAAGTGGACATATCAGGAAATAATAAGAATATCACAATAGATTTCAGAAATTATTTTAAAAGGTATCTCCTTATTTTTTCTTGAAAATTAGACTTGAGGTTATTGTGCACTAGGGTTGGATTCTAATGTTCAATTTGTCTCTTTGAACTTTTAAAAAACTTCACTTTTGCCTTAGAGATGAATATACCATTTAAACGACAATACTTTTCCAGAAAATTCTATAAAGTTTTAATGATATTCTGACAATATTTTTTTCTCTTGAAGTAAAGTTGGGATTAATGCCATAAATAATATTAATTACTAAAAGATACAAAGTCCTGGTGCATAAAAACCCTAAATATTGCTAATAAAATTTTAGAAAATACAATGTTTCTGGTACAGGACTGTGAGAATTCTTTGATGATGTTTTATCAGAGTGATTCATTTTAGATTTTACCTTTCTGTATAATACACAGATTTTTTTATGTTAATAGAAAATACAAGAAGTTTAAATTACATATCTATAATTTTGTTTATAAATGAATCAGAACATAAAAGTTTTATATAAATAAAATCAATACAATGGTAAGTAAAAAAGTATTGCTACTAGGGTTTCTGTTTACACATGCACAGGTTTATTCCAAATAAAATGTGTTCAAACATGTCTCTGTGATCAGTGGCTGGCTGCACATAAGTTCTCTCAGTAATGCACTTCTCTTGGTCTAATTATTGTTGTTGTAAAGTGCCATTCAGTTGGTTCTGACTCCTAGCAATTCTGTATAGGGTTTCTGATGAGCGACTGGTGAGTTTGAACCACCAGTGTTCATCCCACAGCAGCACACCAGGACTCATTTGGAGGCTTTCAAAGGAAAGTTCCAGCCAAACAGCGGCTTCTGAGAGGATTTGCTGGACCAGTTACATTCCAGGCAGATATGTCAGCTAATTGGTGATGGCTGTGTGCCGTGGAGTCGATTCCAACTCATAGCGGCCCTGTACAGGGTTTCCGAGGCTGTACATTTTTACGGGAGCAGAACGTCTGATCTTTCTCCAGTGGAACAGCTGGTAGTTTCGAACTGCTGACCTTGCGGTTGCAGCCCGATTTGTAACCACTATGCTACCAGAGCTCCTTTATGTCTTCTAATTAGGTTATGACAATTGTTTTTTGGGATTCCAAAAGGTAATCTTGATCAACTTTTTTTTCAGAGGAAACCGGACACAGGGGCTTATTATGAAAAAGTTTTATGAAAACTGAAAATTGCATTGGTGAGAAAAAGGCCAGGAAAATTGGAGCCAAGGCAGTTTGTCCCACACTAGGACAATGTACCTGCTCATTCTTTGAAGGCAATAGAGCTTTTCTATGAGCCTTTCTTTGGTATATCTTCCCCTTCTAAAGCTTTAACCTTAATCTTGACCCTTCAGACTTGTTTTTCTTCCAAAACCCAAAGAACATCTTAGGAAAGTGTTAGTGAGATGGACACACAGTCTTGAGAAGTCTATAGATTTAGATGGAGATGATAGCAAGAAACAGTAGCTTCACATTTTGACCATTTTGTTTAATAAAGGTGTCTATGATTTTGTAGCAATATTTTTTTTTTACTTATTTCATATATCAGGTAGTCCATGTCTCATAACGAAGCCCTAGTGCAGTGCTCTAAGGTAAGCCCTGGACTGCAAGGTCAGTTTGAACTGCAAAGTTGGCAGTTCAAAACTCACCAGCCACTCCTTGGAAACACTATAGAAGGTCGCTATGATCAGAATAAACTCAACAGCACTTAACAACAACAACAACCATGTCTTATAATGACCCTATATGACAGAGATGAACGCATCCAAAGGTTGCTAAGATTTTAAGTCTTTACAGGAGTAGTCAGGCTTTCTCTCTTTAAGCAGAAAACTTCATCGTCCTCCTACAGAGGTGCTAGTGGATCTGGCCCACAGACTCTCTAGCTAGTTGCCCAACATTTAATGCACAATGCCACCAGGGCCTCTTAAACAGTTGGATGTCATTCTGTTATTAAGTGCTTTTCAGTCAGTTGCAACTCCTAGCAAGCCTGGGTAGGGTTTCTGAAGAGCTGCTGGTAGGTCTGAGCCATCGACCTTGTGGTTAGCAGACCAGTGCTTATTCTACAGTGCCGTCCTGGGACTCCTAAACAGTGTGATAGTAAAGGAAAATACTGTATTAATGGTAATTTCTCTTCTAAAATTTTCATGATAAGAAACTATCTGAATTAAGTTTCTTAAGTTAAAAATAAATAAGTAAACTTGGGATCTGAGTAGACACCTTGTTTTTAAATTTTAGTAACTATTTTATATATCTGATAAACCAAATTGTTCAGCAGATGTAGCAAGTGTCAATGCATCTAGAGTAGTTAGTAGGGATTGATTTGTG